ACAGCAGGTGTTTTCCCATTTGCATGAATGTTTATACAAGCTTGTTGATAATATCTTTAAAGTGAGGCTTATCCTGTAAGAAAGTCACACTACCTCTCTGTCAATGCAAAAATACAGGAGTTAAAGAAATTTTAAAAAATTAAAAGAAAGAACACCGGAGATAGAGAAAATGCAGCTACCATGGAGGTGGCTCATGGGTTCGTTAGGCTATTTTTCAAAGGCAAATCTTCTTTAACTATGTTCTTAAATCATAAATTTTTATCATCATCCTTACCACTAGTGTGTTCAGCCTCAAGATTGATATCTTCGAATATATACCCCCAGGCCAGAATCAGCAGTGTGTGTATAGAAAACGCTGTTTCCCTGTGGGTGCCACTATTTCAGGTTTTATCTTCCAGCTGTCTTTGCCCAGGGAAGTACAATTGTCAAGTAGAGATGACCTTCAGTTCACGGAAAAAGAACAAGAGCCCAGATACCAAATGATCACTCACCTTACATAATCAACAGAAATAGAGAAGAGCACATGATGAGCCAATCATCGTTTGTAAGTTGAAATCTATTTGAAAAAGTCCCTAAACAACAACAGTGCTACTGAAAAGGTGTGTAGAAAACCTTAATACTATCTTAACTAGGAAATACTGGCTTGGTTTGATGATATTACAACGCAAGAAACGAAAGACTAAGCAAGAGAAGTCTCAACTGAAAAGGCAGCAATGAGGCTGAAAATTGACAGCAAATGAAGCTGCAATTTTCAGCAAATATGGCAGCAATTTAGCTGCAAATTGGTGAAAATGAAGCTGTAAAATGACAGCAACAATGTGCAGCAAGCTGAGCTGCAATGTTGATGAAATGAGGTTGAAATGAGGCTGCAACGGGCAGCAAATGCAAACAGCAAATGAAATGCACATGAAATGCAAATGCAAACTCAAATGCAAATGAAATGAAAGCTGCAAAGTGGCTGAAGAGTAACAGCAAGCATGCGGGAAAAGTGGCTCTTATTGTTCAAATTTAAAATGTACTTTATTGTTTTTTAAAATAGAAATTTGTTTGAATTTTGAATTAAGATTGTAGAGAGTTTATTAATGAGAAAAGGTGAGTTGGAGTGATATACTCCTCTCCATTTTATGTGCTCTGCTCTTCATCTTCTTCCTCTCGGTTCTCTCCATTTCTTTGTTTTAAAAAACCCAACATAGAGTTGTAGCAAATGGCATTACCGAGCTTTGAGAAGGTGCTCCCGAAAACTGACATAGATGAAATGTTGGTGATTCCAACTGATTTCATGCAACATTTGCCAGATGTCGAAGGAGGACACTCAGTGGAGCTGACCGTGAATGCCTCTGGAACTCAGAGGACCTTTGGATACTACACCCGGGCTGGTGCCAACCGTAGACCTGTTCTGAGATCAGGCTGGCGCGGTTATGTCCGCGACAAGGGGCTGCAAGTCGGCCACAAGATCTTATTTCAGTGTGTGGATGGCTTCCCACAATACCAGATTTGTGCTAAGAAGAAAATCAAGCTCCTGGGTCAGGAAACATGGGCTGAGTTCTAAGGTGTTTCGAACGTTGCTGCTTGTGGTTGCACCTCACCCCTCCAAAAATTCTCCATGTTCAATAATAAATAAATTAAACTAGGAATCTATGTCCTGTTGTTGTGCAATATTTGTAGTCTTGTTTGTTTTTGCTGTAATTTTAAGTTGTTTACTCACTTTTGAATTCCATTGGGTGTATTGTTTTAGTTAGCATTAGACTGTCTTTGTACTTATTCATAATTTTACGTTCGTTTTGATAATATAATTTGACTTTAACTCGGTAATCCCCTTTTTTCTTTTCATACTTCAAGTTTGGACTTTCTATAAGTTGGATTTGCAATACATGTACAGATCTTCAATGTAGCCATAACTATTATGAGAACAGAAAGCCTCTCAAATTTAAACCACCGACAAACAATAATAAACAGTTGAAGGTTCACCTCATCTATGACCTTCAGTTTGGATTCCTAATCCATTTTGCTAAACTAGACCAAAATTTGCTGCCTTCTAGCTCCACAAAAACCAGGATGAGTGAAAGTAGAAATTATATATTTAGTGCCTTAGTAGCTAATAAATGGATTTAACTTCTACTGGGTCTTGTGCAATACGCTTGAATTGGAAGATATGGACATTAAAAGGGGTACAGATAAGTGCCATTCTGCTCTAAATACTCGTTTTTTTACGAGTTGTTATGGACTAAGATGGCTTTAGTGGATTGTATCTGTCA